CTGGACAGTGTCCTTCACAAGCTGTGGTACACGTGAAATGAGCTCATGTATGGGATACATGTGCCCTGTACTGCTGTCCTTGCTTTCTTGGCATTTCCAGCCAAGGAAGTATGTCAAACAATGCAGGGTGCTGATTGGCACCCTGCTGGTGACCATGTTGCCAGAGGGCAAAAGACTCCTCTTCAAATTTAACAATTGCTTCTTGTACATTTTGCCAATGTTCCCAGTCTCCGGGCTCAATATGGCACAGAAATGCCCTTCAATGCTGTCCATGGAAGTGGGGACCGAGAAGATGCCCGCCGAGAACTGGCATTGCTCTTCCCCAGTTTTAAGTTTTCAGAGGAAGTTCTGAAAGCTGCTCCTGGTAAGTCTTCAGGTAGATCTGGTCTTGATTAAATGTGCAGTATTTTGGGCTCACTAAGTATGTGTAACGATGTTTTCAGTCTAATGTGGTCCTGTTCTGAAAACGGGTTGTCATAGAGCTTTAATAGTAGTCCTCAACAGTTTGCTGTTTTCAGAGTAATGTGCTGCTTTTTAATACTTCAAACTTGTTGCTACATTCTAACTTTGGGACCCTGCATTTATTGCAAAGTTACTTTGTATATTCCCATGGAAACAGCTGGGAAAATTTCACATTCTGGAAGCTTACTTCAAGCTCAGTAGAGGTGATGGCATCCCCTCACTGAGCCTTTGCTCAGGTCCTGATAGGTAGTGTTCAGAGGGCCCACAGCCTGCTGTGACCCTTAGCTTCGTCAGACCCACATTTTCAGTCATCTCCGTGTGTGAGCCCAGGGGCCCAAGGGCATGGGACAGCGAGGACTAAGCCAGGGTGAAGCTGCTCCTGTGGAGTTGCATGTGTCTGGTTTGAGCCTGAGATGAGGTGGAAGGGGTCAGAGGATTAAAACCCTGGAAAAGCAAAGGATATGAGGATGGGATTCTTAGCAGCAGGCTACATACACATCTGATATGGTTAATAGCCTAATGTGCCTGAACGTTTGGGTTTTAAGCACTTTACCTAAATGTTTGCAATGTTCACAGTTCAAGATTAGAATGCAGCCAAGGATTAGAATGCAAGGAATGGGAAGTCAGGCTCAGAGGGTCCTCTTTCTATACTTACTGCTGCCCCGAGAGGCATAATTATTTCTGCTGCCAGTTGAGGGACATGTTGACAAGCCAAGGAGTTTACAAGTTGAGAAATCATGAGAAGTGTGGCTTTAGATGGCGCAGGGACCCACCCTGACATACACAAATGCATGTTGTGGCTCTTCAACATCACCCTTCATCCCCTTGCTGGGGTACCGACAGAGCCAGCTTTTCTCTGGGGATGTGTCCAGAGTCTTGTGACATTTTGTCCTTTAGTGGGGTGGAGGGGGGGAGGTTCGGGGGGGAGGTGATGGGAAATAGGTATAATTTGGGGCCTAGTGTAATTCTTGGGGGCAGGAAGAGTGTGAGCTGGGAAATAGTGTGGGACTATTGGGACTGTGTTAGACATCCTGAAGCTGACATTTTTAGAGTGATAATGAGGCAAAGGGAATAATTCTAGCAGGGTCTCAGTCCAGACCACAATCTGGGAGTAAGTGCAGTCTCTTACAGGCCTGACTGGTCTGGCCCTTGGCTTTGACTTGCCATGCTGAGTGTGCTTTCAACTTAACCAGCACTTTTTCTGCTAAGGGGCTCTGGACGCAAACTATCCTGGATTTGAATCCTGGTTCCACTATTTACCAGCTGAATAGCTTATGGTAGTAACTTACCTTCTTTGTGCCTGTTTCTTATCTGCGATTGTGATGTTGGTAGAATTACTAGAAATCCAAATAATAAATCCACAGTAATCATCTTCCACTATGGGCTGTTGTGAAGATCAAAGGATAGATACTAAGGATGGGAAGTGTTTAGCCTGGTGTCTAACACATATCTAGGGCTCAACAAACGCTGCTTTCTTTGAATTCTTTTTTTTTTCTTTGAATTCTTTATGTACAATTGTTTATACAATTGCACAAACTCCCTAACAACGACTAGGACCCTCTTTGCTATCCCTTCCACCCTGACTCCTAACTTCACCTCTGATATAGCAAGAGCTCCTTTTCTTGTTTTGTGTGGACAGTGCTTGGCACAAAGGACTGGCACAGACTTTTGCTTCAGAAGTCCCATAGACTATTTGTTGTCCCACAGGCCACGAGGCCAAAACCAAGGACGAGGACTGAGATGGCTGTGTTCTTCCTATGCGTGTGACCAGGGCTGAGTCCACAAGATGTACTTGTGTCTGCTGCACGTAAGGAAACCTTCAGACCTGCTTCCAACCCTTTTGAGAACTAGGATTTTTTGTTTAGCTCTCGGTAATGGATAATAAAAATAACAGCATACATATACTTTTCTGCCTTATTAAACAGTATACAGAACATAGTTTTTTTTAAACCATCTTGGAATTTACAAAATAAATGGACATCAGTTATTGTATTCTGCTGTGATATGGTGTCATCTCAGGGGATATTAAGTCCCATAGGGCAGCTTTTCCCTAATAATAAATCTTAATTTATAAAGAATTCATGTTTGATAACTGTGAATTTGAAAACAGGGCAACAAAATTAGATGCCATTAATTCTGACTCCTTAAGCTACTGACATAAAGGGAGATGCAAGTCGGCTTTTAGTGCTTCCTATGCTGCATCCAGGCCATGCCGGCAGTCCTGCAACATCACTGGGCCTGCCCATCTGGGCTCTCTGCGAATCAGGGTCTGTTCACAAAGCAATACCTGGAGATTATATTTGGAGCCAGTGTTCACCTCATTTTCCCAATGTTCCTTCACCCATTGGGGGGGGGGGAAGGTTCTGTTTCTGGCTCATTTTAAAACCTGAAAATTCCTATGGGGCCAGGCTGTGCCTGACTTCTGCTGAGTTGCCTGGTTGAACTGTTCTTCCGTGGTTGTGCCCTTGAAGGACAAAGGAGGTTTTCAGTAAAAATTAACTTTGATTATCCACATAAACAGATCATGCAAAGCCAATTTGCTCTTCGGCGTACTTGTAGCTCAGTAAGCCCCAGCATTCTATTTCTTCTCTGAGGAAAGGCTGTGTTCTCCAATACCGCGACAGTGTTATGATTACCTTCATTGGCTGGTTTTCTTCAAAGAACTTTGCTCCTGACTTGAAGAAATGCTGTCTGTGAGTAGTTAGCTACCAGAAGACTGCACTTTAAGAGACATCTTTCCTCACAGCACGATACACTTTGCTGGCACTGGTCTGGAATGGAGGCCGTGGGAAGGTGGGACCAAGGCCTGTGCCACAGGCTGGTAGTCTTTCCCATGGCTTTGTCACTCTGTATGGAAACATATATGCCCACCGTACAGGGCCCTGTGAGCAGCCACATGTTCCATGGAACCTGGACTGACAGGATCTGTCAGAAAAGTTGAGCTCACTGTTCTAGGCCCCAGACGTACAGGGCACAAAAGGAGAAATGGAATGCAGTAATAGAAAGAGAGAGAAGTTTTGTTAAGTTTCACATCCAGGAACCTCTGCGGAGGCATGGCAGCCGTGTGCACTCTCCTTTCCTGAATGAGCTTAAGAGGGGGACATCATTGGTTTGTGCCCACCTCAGAGCTGGAAAATACCCTGGGGCATAGAGGACTAGGCCTGGGCTTCCATACCACAGCTGCTGTGTAGTTCTGAATGAGGTGCTCAGTGGTACAGCCAGCTGACAGCTACCTGATCTCCCAGAAGCCGAAATGCCAAGGATCTTCTATCACTGAAGAGGAGAGATCAGGCATCAGAAAGCAGGGAAGAGAAAGAACAGGTAGGGGAAGTGAGCCGGTGCGGGGAGATGTGTGCTGGTCTGATGACCTCTGTCCTTCCAGGAAGTAGCTGGGAATGTTAAAGCTGTATGGGGTAGCAGAAAGGGCACTAACTGATAAGGCCAGAGGAGAGGGGTGGTAACACCCCTTCTTTCCATTACAGGTAGCCTTCTATTTACTTTTTCAGCCAAGAAAGTCTGTGGCAGAAGGATTTGGGTGGGGGTTGGAGGAGTGAGAAAGTGCCTGAAAGTGTCTGAAATGTCAGCTCACTCTCTGAGGATGGAATTCCTTGGTAGAGACCTGGCTTCCTATAACAAGAAGCTAACTGTTGGGGCAACAATGGCAGCTGTTTCAACATTAAGACCTCTCAGGGACTGGTGTGAGTATTTGGCAGGCTCCATGAAGTCAGGAAGGACTGGCAACCTACTCTGTGAGAGGCTGTCTTCCTGGCAGAGCTGAGGCCAGAAGTCAGAGCTGCATAGGAGGGAGGAAAAGTGGCTTGTAGGACATGTGTGATCCTTGGGGGTTCTCTGTTTTCCCTGAAGCTGAGCCACAGACCAAAATCTTCTCTGACATGTGTGTCTGCCCAGCAACCAGGAAAGTCAGAGCAAAGGGACAGGCCACCCTCCCAGGTGGCAGGATATTGGAAGCCCTTTCCTCTCCTTTCTCAAGTTTCCCTTTTGAAGAATCCTCTTCTGCTAACCACTCAACATCTTCTCTCCACACTCAGGAATGGGTGCTCTTGGCTTTCCTGTTTCTAGTGATGTTAGGAGTTGCTTCTCCACATTCTGGAGATGGGGAGAGGCAGAGTGTGCAGTAAGGAAGTGGAGAACATCCAGGCACCTCTGCGGAGGCATGGCAGCTGTGTGCACACTGTGCAGCTGGTCATTTGCCAAACTCCGTCTGAGTCCAGCAGGCAGTGGCAATGAAGCTGTGGTTATGGAAGGGGAAGTGGATGCAACATGGGATGGGGTGGGGGAGATCCTGAAGGCTGGGAATGGTGACCTGTAAATGGTCTGCTGGGCTTCAGGAGGCCAGGAATAGAGGGGCCCCAGACTGCAGCAGACATCCCTGGAGCAATCACCCTAAGGCGCCCACCCCAACTCTGAAATGCAAAGTCACCTCCCAACATCTCAGTCACTAAGATGGACACAGTATACATTATCTTCTAATGTTTCCTAATGTTCCAGACATTTGGAAAACAGACTCCTTTTTAAAAGTTGCCATGATTTTTCTTGGCTTTTATTAGCATGTGTTAAAATCATATTATCCAAACACTACCAGTATTGTTCTGCATAAAGTGCTTAAGGAAAAAAATGCAACTTATTAAATTGGACATTCTTTTCTAGTTCATAAATTTTGAGTTACAATCAGGGCACAAAAGGAGAAACAGAATGCAGTATTAGAGAGAGTGAGAAGTTTTGTTAAGAACTTGAGTGGAGACACAAGACCAAGTCCCATTCCTCCCCCTTCCTTGCTGACTGAACACTGCACCTGTGTAAAGCAGCAAACAGCTCTGTTTTAATAAATACATTTCCTTCATTCAAGTCAGAAAAGTTAATTATAGTAAAACACTTTTTCTTTGACCATCTATTTATAATCATAGGCAAGAGTTGTCCATGGGGTTCAGTGTGGAAGTGTTATTTCATTGGGCCTTCAGCTTTCTAATGCTATTTAGGTTCAAGATTGTCTCAGCAATTCATTATTGGTTTCTTTATATTTGCTTGGTACTTTGGAATATCAACTCTCTAGTGTTTTGTGTTACAAATGCCAACCCAGGATGTTTTCTCAGTACTAGAAATCTCAATGAGTGGGCCTAAATAAGGCTTTATTCTGAATAAACTAGATTTCCTTTAAATTGGCTTTTTACATTAGCACCCTGATGGCTGCATAAACCCAAGTTCCTATCATGACAGGTTTTAAGTTGGTGATATACTGAAAAAATAACTTGGAAATTTGTTTGAATCTTGGGTGGTCATGTTGGGAACAGGACAAACTACATTAAATACATTTGAGAATCATTCATTTGCAATCAAACTTGTTTAAATCTTCCAGGGAAGGTGCCGTTTGGGGATGGGGTGGCTGCAATTTGGGCAGACCCATTAGGAGTGGCTGGTGGGTCTGGGATCCTGTCGTTGGCACACCTCAGGGTGAGCTCCTACATGCAGACCTCGCTTCCTGGCTGCAGCGCCTTTGACCTTTTGACCTTTTTGCAAAGGGAAAAGGCAGACTGGATCTACCTTTGAACAGTCAAGAACACCTGTTGACTATACCTTGAATCTGACCCAGATGTTAGAACAGGTGCAAAGTTAAAAGCGGCAAAAGGGTTAGGCAACACTCACTATAGAAAGAACAGAAGTCACCGTCAGTCATCGTGGGGAGATTCTCTTTCCTTCTCACAAGTTTCACTGCTTTTGGCTTGAAGCAGGAAAGATATTAGCCACACCTTGCACTAAATTTTAATTGAACTTTACAAAACATACTTAAGTAGCAGTCCTGAGTGACTGGTCATTTATTGAGTATAGTTAAAGAGAAAAACAGCTTTCTAAACCCTCCTTTCTTTGCTTCTTTCTACAGATGGGTCTACAGGACATTCTTTAGTTTCACAGTGATATATGCTGTTTCAGGAAGCCCAAGGTGATGGGACTGTTTCCAGGAAGTAATGACCTACTTTAGTTTGAGGATAAGATTCCACAACTGGGTCTAAGTCTTGGCAGATACTGCTACACCAAATGACAGGAGTTAGGGAGGGTAAGAGGTTCTTGGTGCCAGTTCCTGCCAGGGTTAGCCCAGAGAGTCACGGTGGGGCTTCCACTCTCAGTAATTGTACTTCCCTTTGACGTTTTTAAACAGCATGGGGAATTTATTACCTCAGTCCACTCCACCTTCTGCATCTGCCTTGGAAGCCTGAGTGCTTACTGAAGTAGGCTGAAGAGCGGCTCTGTTCCTGCTGATATTGGCGGCAGTAAGATGCTAGCTTACTATTTTGCACAGCACCATTTATTGTGCCTGTTTTTCAGGCCAACTATAGCCAAACTTTTCTTTTTCTTCTTTTTTTTTTGTTTGTTTTTATAAAGAAAATCTATGTAAGTTGAGGTTCAGAAATGCATATATTCTTTACTTACAAATATTCATCTGACCAAAATTCAACATAACCTTTATGGAACACTTAACAATTGTTTTGTTTTTAAAATAACATTTCATTCAAACTGTATATAATTCAGTAAAGTTTTTTTATACAGCAAGCAATGCTTAAACCCTGGAAAATCTGTAGAAAAGAGATTTTCACACAAAATAAGAAAAGAAAAATTTGAGGTATCCCTCACATACACCCATTCATTCTGACCCATGGACACATACGTACATATACACACACCCATGTGTGCATGGACACATTCATTCGTACTCACAAAGTGGCTGCAGCATAGGCAAAAAATTGTAGGTCCAAAGGAAAATGATTGATTGTTCTAATAAAGAGTCCAGGTAGCTCAGGAAAAAAACAAAAACAAAAACAAAAAAAAACCCAACAAAACACAATAGTCCTCTGAGGAAATTACTACCTCAAAAAATGTTCTCAAGATGAATTTGAGATCTAAGCCTACCAAATTGCTTTTGCAAAACAGCTCCCTGCAGTCCAAGGTGACTTGTGCAAAATAGAAGGAATCAATTGAGGCTAGTTCCTGTACTTCCTTAAACAAGGAGGTGGGTGCTCACAGGTGCCAGGGCGTTCCCATCACGCCAGGTACTGCTGCAGTGCCGTCTTTGCCCTGAAATCATAAAGTTCCTGTTAGCCATTATCTCCAAAGAGTATTTAAGGCAAAAACTTGTGGCTCAAAGATGGTAGTTGGAGGAGTCTAAATCTGAGAAGGCAGATCTTTAATACAGCACCTCCTGTAAGGGGCAGAGATCTGAGGTCAGCAGACACTTTAAATCACTGCTGGCTCCAACCTCCCCCTGCCTGAGTTTCTCTTACAAAAGCCTGCTCTGGTACCCACGACACCTGCTGCGGCCCACTGACTGCTGTAGTTTCCCTTTGCCATTGGCATAGAGCTTTGATGAACCCGGCATTCTTTATTCTCTCCTATGGCCAATCAGCTTTCACCTATGGCTCCAGGATACAGGGGAGGGCACTTCAGGGTTCTGGGAAGCTAAGAGGAAAACTGATCAGGAAGAGGAATTTAGATACTAATTAGAAGGTTTCTGGCAGGAGTCATGAATTCATGGGATGAGGGTATCTCATGTTCAAATGCCTCAAAACGTGAAGAAGGTTCCACTTTCATCTCCTTTTTATCATGCCTGATGACATTGATCAATTTGGGATGTGGGGTGTCATGGTGATTGTGAAAGAAGGCAGCTAGTTGGAAATGAAAAGATATAACACAGTGATTTAACCTATCCTCATCTTTGCAAAGCAATTCCCTCTGAACTCAGACTGAAGAGGCCTTTTTTACAATTCCCATTGTGAGCTAAGTTTCTAAGACACTGCAGATGTGGACTGAGCAGGCCTCTGCTTCTAAAGTTATGGAAAGAAAAGGCTATTTTCAGTTGCTGTTAGTTGATACAACAATAACAAGAAGCCTGGGTATGCAATAAGCTGGTCTCCAGTGCAGCTTCTGGAGTGAAGTAATGGACATAATCTACAGTTTTAAAAGTCGTGTACAAAGGAATATTCTTGCAATTATCTGACAACTATATAAACGATAGTTGCAAGCAATCTATACAGACTGACTCCATATAGGCTGACTCCAAGTTATGAGTAAGTTGGGTTCTACAAGGTTATTTTCTGAATGCTGCTCCAGGTTAGTTCTTAAAGATTATCCAAAACTTGAGGCCCTCTGTAGTGGGAAGGGCTACTTAAGTAATAATGGCCGTGGGTCTGTAAGTGTTAGAAATCAAAGATCACAGACTTTAAAGACAGAAGGAATCTGAGAGGTCTTCTTTAGGTAACAGACTTTCCTGTGTCAAGGTCAACACTCGGAATTTTGAATTTCTCTTTACATTGCCAAATGCATATTCCTTTGGGGTCCTTCTCAGGGACTGGTTATGTCTGATTATAGACGACCTCAGACCACATCCTTATTGTCTGCTGCTATCTGTTATTATCTAAAGTCTTTCAGGTGGATGGTCTTGGAGTGAGATTAACTTTCCTCAGACAAAGATGGGTGGGGTAGCTTGGAGTTGTTTTATAGGGTTTAAAATAAGAACTGCTGAAAACTTACATGCTGCACAAATTTAAAGAAATAGCACCACAGTGTTCTAAACAATGTAGGCCAGACCTCAAGCCCATCTTACTTCATAATGGTCTCTCATAGTATTTCAGCTTACTCCAGAGAGGATTTAGGCAGACTAGTTTCATTTTTGAATTAAGATGAGAGAAAAACCTAGGGAATAATTTGGCTCTCAAGTCAGAAGAGGCAGGCTGACATTTAAGCTGGCAGCTGTTACCAGTTCCAGTCCTTAAGGTGCAGCTCAAATGCAGCTTTCAGCACCAGGATGGCCTTGACCTGCCTTTGATATGACACTCATCTGAGCAGCAGTTCTGGCGGCAGTTATTTGGGAATGGCAAAATTCCAGAAATCAAGGCCAGCTTGCTTTGCATGCTTGAGTGTGGAAAGCCATTTATTCAAGTCATAATTACCAAGTGCTTCTTCCTTTCAGTGGAAAAAACAGAGAAAGCAACAACCATAATACAACATGATATGTTCTATGGGTGTTACAGGGTCCTGGCAAAGTCTGGAGGGTGGGGGATAACATGGAGAATAAATCATGAAAACATTTTGGAGGTGATAATCTGGTCTAACTTCTGAAGGATGGATGGCACCACCTAGGCATCTCTTCCCTTGCGTTCAGGACCCTAATGTGCCTTCATCTCTGCCTGACTCACTGTCTCACTGCTTGTTCCTTTGGCTCCATTGTTGTATTCCTTTGTCTTCCCCACCAGTGGGCCCCCCCCCCACCAGTGTTTGATTCTTAGCACCCCTCTCTTCTCTCTCCATATCTATTCTCCCTACAAATTTTATTGAGCTCTATGGCCTTATCATTTAAATTTATATCTCTGTACCACTCTCCTGAATGCCTTGCATATCTAATAGGCATCCACAAGTTGAACTCTTGATTCTCCTTATCCTAACTCACTTCTTTTGTATTTTTCATCATCTTGGCAAATGACAAGGTGCTTAGGTTATAAATATAGGCATTTCTCTTTCTACCCTAACACTGTATGTAAAGGTTCTACCTTTACATTAAGTTGTGAACCCAGCTACTTCTCAGTATTTCTACTACTAGCACCCTTATCTTAACTTATTACAGTGTTATAGCAAGAAGCTGTATAGCTGGTCTCCCTCCCTGCTTCCATTCTTACCCTACTATAGACAGTTCTCTATACAGTGATCTTTTAAAAATTCAAATCAGAAATTATCTCTTCTGATCAAAACTTTCTAATGACTTCCCATTCATTATACTCTGAATAAAAATCAAAGCCCTTACTATAGCCCACCAGGCCTTCACCTGCTCTGGGCTGCCACCATGAGTGTAATTCTTAAAATTTCCCCTCCCCTTTGTTTATTTTTCTCCAGCCCCACTGGACTTCCTGTTGTTTCTTGAACATGCAAGCTTCTCCTGTTTAAGGGCTTTGAACTCACTGTCCCATCTGCCTGGAATACTCTTCCTCTAAACATCTACCTGGCAGACTTTTATTTCATCCAGGTCTTTGATCAAATGCCACGTCCTCAGAGAGACCTTTGCTGACTAACCTATAAGAAAAGAAACTTTCTTACTCTCCATTCCCTCACTTTTCTTATTTTTCTTCACAGTGGCTCTCATTACTTGTCCTCATTACACATTCATTAGCTCATTGTCTGTGTTCTATACTAGAATATAAGTTGTATGATAGCAAGGACAGTGGCTGGTAGATAGGTATTTAAAAAAAATCTGTCAGATATGAATGGGAATTTTGAGGAAAAGGAATTGCGATGGGAAATCAGATGGAACAGAATGTGTAATACATGAACGTGTGATTCTGTATTGGAATAGCTATGGCTGGAGCATAGGTTGGATTTGGCGGGCTCTGGATCTGGAAGGCTAGAAAGACAGAGTCAAACCACGAGAGGTTTCTGAGCCATAGTTAAGAGTTAGAACATGAGAGAGTTGTTTCTTGTTGTGTACTACAGTGAGCTGGCAAGTGACAGCTGTGTTAAAAGGAGTGGACACAGCTAGGAAAAGCTTTTTGTGTCTCTTTTGAGGCTAGGGACTCTTTAGTGGTCACTGCCAGGCCAGGTGCCCAATGAGGTTTTTAACTAATGTATGTTTTTATTTTTAGCCTTCATTTCTGCTTTCCAAAAGGCAACGTGCATTTCTAGTCTCGTCATTAAGGGAACATAAGGGAGTAGTTTATGGAGCATCTTTATAAACCCCTAAGATGGCACGAGCTCAAGTTAACTCAGAGTAAGAGGAGAATCTTTAATAATTTGTTAATCATTACTTTATCTCTTACTCAAAATTCACACAGATGGCTCAAAGAAAATTAAAGAGAATCTAAAAATCTGAAAACATTTATCATGGAATACTATTCAGCTATAAAAAGGTGGAACCCTACCATTTGCAACAACATAGATGGGCCTAGAGGGTATTAGGCTAGATGAAAGATCAGACAGAGAAAAGACAAATACTGGATGACAGTAATCATATGTAGCAGATAAAGAAACAAAACTAATGAACAAACACAACAGAAACAAACTCTTAGACAATAAGAACAAATTAACAGTTATCAGAAAGGAAGGGGAAGGGAGATGTGTAAGGGGGGTAAGAGATGGTAAAAGATGGGAATGAGACTTTTGTGCAACTAACAATGTATATGTGGATGTTGATTTATAATGCTGTAAACCCAAGACCTATACAATAAAATGAATCAATGTGACCTCAATAAAAATCTAATTAAAAAAATAAAAGATTTTTGTTTGGTCATGTGACTTACTAAGCAAACTCTTCCATAAAATCATTTAACATACCCCATAGCAGCATCTTTTCACTTTGATACTCACTTGTCACAAAGGTTCGAATCTGGTGACTGACTCAGTTTGTGTAGAATATCTACGATGCCCATGTCTCGTAACTTATCTTGGCGTTCTTGTGAACCTAAGATTAAAGCTTACAGGTTACTGGAAATGTGGTCCTGGAGGCTCCTCTCTTTCACGTACAATAAATAATCTGGACCCTTACAGTATCCTTATTTCCCATCATTCCATCCCAACCTTCACTCTCCTCCAGTGTAGTTGGATCCTTGGATGCTTCCATTTTTGACAACACTCTTGATTGTTCTCTTTGCCACTCATCCTTCTTCCTGCAGTCTACCCCGGGTTTTGACAGGTTTGATTTCTCCAGGTCAAAATTTTCTTTGTCCTTGTACAGACACTTTGCTATCAGGTACCAACTTCATTTTTGCTTTCTGGACATAACAAGCCAGCCTCCACCTACTCCAACCATGTCTTGTTTTTCCCTTCTCTTCTCCTTTCTGACTTGTCAACAATTTCTGCCTCCTCTGGGTTAGCCCAGAACTGTCTTCCAATTAGACTAGGTCCTCTCTGAGCACAGCTTTGTTTCCCTGGTGGCTATAACTGAATATGGTTCTCTCCTTTCTACTTTGTTTTGGATACAGCTACTGAACAGAATGATGCTGAAGTCTTTCCCCCAACTAAAAAGTGATGGAACTTATGCACTGACTTCCTCTAGATCAAGTGAACCAGAATCAAAAAAGTTCAAAAAAGTTCTCCTGGTGATTCATATGCAACCCAGGATTCAGACTTACCACTCAAACATCTGTTTGCTACTTTGGCTGGGATCACCTTAGGGGAGTTTTAAAACCATGAGTGCAAGAAGTTCACCCTCAGCAATTCTGATTTAACTGGTCTGGTGCAAAAATTCCTAGATAATTCTAATATGAGGCCAAGGTGGAGCATCTCTGACCTCAGAGGCCTCAGACTGGCTACCTCAGATACCCATCATTTGTACTATATCTCTCATTTGTTACCAATGCCCTTCTTCTCCAGTAACATAGAGCTTAATCTGTCTGTAGTCCACATATATGTTTCCTCTACACACAATGGAAGGCCTATGTTCTCACCCACTCAACTTTCACTTCCTTCAAGTGCATCTCACCATCTTCTTCCTAGGTTCTATCACTTCTTTAGGGTCTCTTCTACTCCCACCCCTTGTAATCTGGTGCAGTGCTGATTCTAGGTGAGGCCCAATGTTAACAGTCAAGCTGACACAAGCTTTTACCATGATTCTCATACCAGGGTGACCCTGTTGGGTGCTTGGGCTCCAATGACTGGTACCTCTCCCCAGGAGCTTAGGGATCCTTGCTGCCTTCTCCATGAGGGCCCTTGTTATTGAACAAATCTCACCAATCTCTTACCTTCCTCTTCATTCCATATGAGGTTTGATATACAAAACATCGCAGCAAGCTGCAGTTTGACATGTGAATGACCCTATTTAATACAGGAAAAGAAGAAAAAAGTTAAATGGAGATAATCTCATTTGAAATAATTTATGTGGTAGAACCTAGGCAATCTCAATAGGCTAAAAGTTTGAAGTACAGGTTGGGCTAAAGGCAATAGGGGTGATGGAGAATGTGGTATTCTGGGAAGCAAAAGACATTTAAATAATAGACACCCTCTGATGGGCCAAACAAAAACACCTTCAAGGTCACAGGCACAGTTTGCAATTTCTGTATCATTCAATCCATGCACACAGAAACACTGGCATATGAGAGTTCTATGCTCTTGACTAAGCTATATTTTTCTATATTCGGAAATTTTCCAATGTGAAGCTTTCAAGAGCATTTATTGAACAAATGAAGCAGCATACACTATAATGACAAGTATTTACTGTGTGTAAGTTTATTCATTTGTCATTCAATAAATGAATTGAGAAAGCAAATTGCTGTGACTTAGAAAATTCAAGGTGAAGGGATGGGAATCTAATTTTGACAGAGTGCACAGAAAAGATTTCTTTGAAGGAGACCACACTTAATCAGAGACTTAAAGGACAGGAAGGTGCTAGAAAAGAACAAAGAGTCAGAGGTTTGAGAGGAAGGAAAAGCTGCTGAAAAGATTATGAGGTAGATTCTTACTCATAATGGGAAGGCAAAATGGAGTAACATTAGTTGAGAGGAGTAGGCATGGCTAAATTTTGGGCCCTTCAAGGCCAGAGAAAAGACACTGTATTTCATTCTGAGTTGCTAGGAAGTCTTTGAAGGATTTGTGGAGGCACAAGATGTATCCATATCTTTGGAAGTTCACCTGGGCTGAAGGGATTGGAGTGTCACTAGGAGCCTATTTATAGTTAATTAGGCAGGAGATTGGCTGGGGGAAGAAGTGGTGAGAGGAAGAAGTTAATAGGTACAAGATTGGTTATAGAGGAAGGCTCATAGATCATTCTGATAAGTTGAATGATGTGAAAGAACTAGAGAAATAGAGATTAAGATCCTAGCTTTGAGCCATGAGCTAGAGAATAAAGTCACCGTAAGGAGATGGGAAAGATCAGAAGAGAACTTTAGGTTTAGAGGAGGTAATTAAGAATTCATTTTAAACATCTAATTCAAGAGACTTCTGACAGCCACATGGAAGGAGGATATGAGTCTGGAGTTCAGAAGACAGGTCTAGGCTGGAGGTATATACAATTTGGGAGTCATCAACATAGAGACAGTAAAAGTCATGGAATGGATGAGATTTCTCCTATGCCAGTGGTTCTTAGCTCTGGCTGTATATAAGAACATCTAGAAACTTCACACAATCCTGATATCCAGGCTACCTCCCAGACCTATTAAATCATAACCTTGGGAAGAAGGGGTCAAGTGATAAATCTTGGAAGTACCCAATTAGATTCTAATGTACAAGTTTGTGAAGCACCAATCTCAGGATAGCATGTAGGAGAGAAGAGAAAGGGGAGTAGGTCTAAGCAAGTAAGTGTGTGTCATGGAAGTCAAGGTAAAAGGATATCTTTAGATATAGGATATGGTCAGTTGTAGTCTGCTACAGGTAAGGTAAGATGTGGACAGAAAATTATCCTTTGGATTTGGTATCAAGGAGACCTCTGATGACTTTAATCAAAAAAGTTGAAGTTAAGTGATCCAAATAGAGGTGAGATGAAGTGGGTTAGAATGAATTTAGAGATGAGGAAGGAGATGGCGTGTGAAGAAGATGCCTTTAAGAAAGTTCAGCTTCAAAAAGCAGTAGAGAGTAGGTGTACTTCAGTGGGTATAGGAAATCAAAAGAATCTTGAAAGATTAGTGGTATGATGTGGATCTGGTATTGGAAAGCTAGAGAAATTACTGGGGGTTGAAACAGTAAGGTTTTCATTCATCAAATATTTATGAGCACATACTAAAGGTCAGGCTCAGGACAATATACCTCAGTACATTGTACCTCAGTACAATATACCTCAGTACAGTATACCTCAGTACAGGTGACAGATGTACCACTGTGACAGTCCTTGCCCTCAGTCTTCTAGAGAAGACAAAATTAGCAGGCCTACAAACGAATATCTAACAGTACATCTGAGCTGACAAGAACAGAACGCAGTAGAAAGAACAACCCATACAGATAATAGTCCATGAGGAAGTATGAGTTGGACTGATATTTTAAAGGTAGAAGGCATGCCAGGAAGGAATGGGGTATAAGGAGAAAGTGTTACAGACAGAGAAGTCATCATGTGTAGGTCCTGAGGTAGAAAAGAACATCTTTCTAGGTATGGAAAGAGGTCAACATAGTGAACAACAGGAGGGGAACAAGACGAGTTGGGGCTATAGATGAATAAGGTCAAAGATAGGACTAATAGGCCAATATAAAGGGAAGAGTGTAAATGATTTTACTCTTGGTATAACGGAAGGATATTGAGTTGTATTCTCTTAATAAAACAAAAGACGAGGTCATCACTAAAAGTGATTGTCAGAGAAAAGGCGAGATTTAAAGAATGGAGAGAAAGCAAGAACCTATACTTGTTGGAGAATGAGGCATCAGCTTGCTGGAGAATCACTGGTGGATACTAGGTAGTGCTGAGTGCCTACCAGAGTTTTGTGAATTTAGCATAAAACCAGACACTCTGCTCCTATATCCTTCTTTGCAGTTGTTAACTCCAACAAGTAGGCAAAGAGAAGACAGGTTTATCCATGGTTAACTATCTCTTTTGCCAAGAGACAACAACAGAATAAAAAGTGAGATGTCTGATATCCAGATTTTGAAAAAGGGCAGTTTCTATTAAGGGCGGTATTAAAAAAACAGATACCAGGAACCAGAGGTACCTCAAACAACAGGTACCAGAGATGCTAGTGGGCTATAAGGTTCATCAACCTGGTACTGAAGCCTTGAGAGGGATGATATGGATTGGAGGGTGCTGAGAGAGAGCCAAGAGCTCAAGACTTCACTGACAAAGAGGGAGGCAATCAAAAGATGAGAAGGATAAGGAGTGGGTTTGTGGATGGCAATATTGCTAAATGGCATGAGCTTAAAAATTGGTATTGCTCTTTTTCCTTCAGAGAAGTCCTTGATTTGTTGTTACAGAGTATATTCCTCTTTTCAAAGTCTCTACACAACTTAACAATGCTACAGTCCCTCCTTCTAAAGTATAGCTAGTGTAGAGCATGAAAAAGAACAAAGGCCTACCATGTAATACTTAATTTTCTGCAGGATGTCATCATTGGTCATAATAAGTTCTTTTGCTGTTGTCCCATCTGCTATGTTGGCTAGGATGCACAATGTCTAGAAGAGAACAAAGGGCCAGTGATTAGCAAGGCTCTCAAGTCCCCAGATTCAATCTCTCTCAAGAACTTGGGCAATTTCCCTCCTGAAATGCATGGACTCTCACAGACTCCATATGAGTGTCTTGATTTCTCACCTCCTGGTGTCATTACCAACAAAGTAACCACAATTAAAAAAAGTTCATCTCGGGCCCTCCCTGGTGGTGCAGTGGGTTAAAGCACTGCACTGAGAAGCTTAAGCCACTTCCGCATGAGTTCGATACCTGCCTGCCCCGGAGGAGATCCACATGGCAAGGCAGACCTCTCCTGACCCGCCCGCTGCTCCCCTCAGCAGTGTACTTCGTAGATCTGCCTGTTCTGTTCCCCACTCTGTCTCTGGTGAATCCTCTCACCCTCTGCATCTCCGGCCTTTACCCCAGTTCTGTATGAATAAATAAATAAATCTTTAAAAAAAAAAAAAAGTTCATCTCACACAAAAGAGAAACCGAAAATTTAGGTAGTTTCTTTCTTGAAAATTTCATTTCTGGGAGAGGCTCTTACAATCACTCACATCTTCCTTCAGATGTAGTCTCTCTGATGGAAGCTTCATAGCTGTTGCAACTCTCATTCTTCACCCTCTGAATTCTACTTGCTCCCAAGCTCATTCTCTTTAGGGTGAAGGCCTAAATCCTGTCCACTAGTGTAGCTAGTGGATCACAGTTACATCACAGTTGACAGCTACAATAATCATTGCAGTTAGGACCTCTTGACTTTTTGGAATCATTTTAGGGAAACAGAAAGGGAAGCAAGATGTCTAAAGAAGCTTGGTCTACAATGGCCTAAGTGGAGGCTGGAGGGAGACTATGCCAGCCGGTAGCATGGTACATCCTGAAGGCAATCACATTGGTACTGGAGAAAAAGGCTTCTCCGTTACATTCTCAGTCAGACCAGCAGGTGGGAAGGATTAAGGTAAAGGTGAAAGGACAGGGGTAGAGATACTTAGTGCCAGCCTTAGCAAATCAGCAAACATTTAGTGAGCACCTTTAACATGCTTGCATCCACCTAGCAGAGGGAAACAGAAATAAAACACACACCCAAACTTTGAAGCTGTCAGTCATACAGTAACATTTCACTAAGGTGTAACTAGATAAAAGCATAACTGAAAAACATGAAGTTAGTGCAAGGTTCAGGAAAGGCTTCTTGGGTCCTGACACTATATCCTGGAGCACAGTCAGGAATCACTCAAAGAAAGTGATGAGAGGTGGGGATGGGATCTAAATTTAAATAATTTTCTCCAACTTGAAACTCTCTTTGCTATACTTAAGCTAATTAAGCCTGCAAGCTATAGCTAACTGAGGAGAATGTAATCTTGTTACAGCCCAAATGCTCAGCTATCTTAAAAGGTGTACAGTCTTAATTCTCCCAGACTGTGGCATCTAGATTGTGGGAGTGAGGCTGGAACCAAAAAAAGTTGGTTCTGGGATAAAAAGGGCAGGGAAAATACAATTTATAATCCATGATGTCACCAGCTACTAGGGGTGACTAGAGGACTAAGTGACAAGGAGACCTTGATGTGCCCAGCAATTAGAGGGAGATGATCTGGGTAAGATAAAATTTCAAAGTGATCTGGTATGCAATAAGCCTGTCGGAAATCCTGGCAGGCACAACACTCAAAATTTCTCAGAGTAGTGAGGAGAGCAAGGGGGGAATAGGTTTGGAGTTCTTTCTCTTATTGTTAAAAATTAATAAATTATAAAAAAAAATTACCCATCATATACTCATCATCTAGCTTCAACATTAATAAGCACTGTGTCATATTTGTTCTAAAGAATATGGGGTTGTGTGTATGTGTATATACATATGTATGTGAAAGGGTTTTCCTTCTTTTTTTTTCCCTGAACCATTTCAAAGAAAACTGATATTTTACCTCTAAGTATTGTAGTATTTAATTATGTAAGAAAAATGTTTTCCTACATGCCATATTATTATGCCTAAGAAAACTAATAGATCTTTATTCTTTTTGATTAATCTCTTATGATTAATCTCATTTGGAAAGATCCTATGATGGGACAGACATGACTATAATAAGTAGAATTAACAGAAGTAATTAGTTTGAGAAGAAAGTGATACTCAACTGATTTTAAAGAGTTCAAGTTCAAGATGACACCAGGTTCATATGATTGATGGTTGTTCTACCCACATTCTAGCCACACCTGATAGGGTTACTAGATACAATGAGTGTTCAATCCTCCATCCCATCTATGTCTTAACATTTTTCTTCAAATCTGATACCATCACACTCATTAATACATGCAGAATAAAAATTACATGTGGAAATGCCATAGTATTCCTTGTTCTGCTCTTTTCCCAAGGAATACAGAAACAAAGACTCAGAAGATCAAGTTATACAATAATCCCACCTTTGAAGAGCAGGTTGGCAAGATGATATTCATCAGTGGTAGTGATCAAGTCCTCACCCTGGGCTTTCTCAGGTTCTAAGTATATACTAAGTAAACCCACTGCTGACGGGAGCAGTGGGCAGGTCAGGAAATGTCTGTTATGCCATGTGGGTCACCTCCCTGGAAATGGATCAAACTCGTGCAGCCGTGGCTGTGGATAGCTTCATAGTGCTGTGATTTAACCCTCTGCGCCACCAAGGAGGGCCTCTTCCTATTCTTCTTACTCTTTCAGGCTTCAATTAAATTGCAGACTAAGGACAAGCTATGAGAATAACAGCCTGATTAGAAAGCAGGACAGGAGAAAACATAGGTGTTTTCTCTTTTGTGCTCTGCTTTCCCTCACCCCCACTTCATTCTTATCAGAAAGATCCACTTCAATGAATTAGCTTCAAAGGTGGTAATGGAAATTACTTTAACCCTGAGGAATTTAATCAGTTTTATGACATATGTATTCCTAGGACGAGGAAGTGGTAAGCACCTCAAGATTCTCCTACGGGCCCTCTCTGGTGGCGCAATGGGTTAAAGCATGGCACTATGAAGCTAGTCATGGCTGCTACACACAGCACAAATTTGATTCCCAGCCAGAGAGCTGACCCACATGGTGTGGCAGACTTCTCCTAACCCACCTGCTGCTCCCCTAAGCTGTGGATTTCAGTCAATTAGCCTGTTCTGCTCTCTACTCTGTCTCTGGAGAATCCTCTTATCCCCGTACTTCTGGCCTGTACCCCAGTTCTTGTATGCATAAATAGATGTTCAAAAAAATTCCCCTAGGAAAGAATTACTCCATTTTTACCTATTATTCCAGAATATAACATTCTGGAAACATTCCTTAGAACAGATTATGTCAGCAAGATAAACAAGTGTTTCCACTTCATAGAAAGTTAGAATACCCCCATGTCTTCTCAAATTTGTACAGCATAGCAAATTTGAGCTGTAGATCTGCTTTGAAGCCCTAACCCAACTATAAATATTCCTATGGAGATGGGGAACAAAATCCTAAAGAGAGCAATGGACATGCCAATTTAATATTATCAGCTAAGTAGCTAAGTCAAAAGTTTCTCTTTCTCTCTCTCAAGTGGAAAACAATGATCTAGATTAGGAATTGGCAAACAATGACTTTGTGGGACAAATCTGATCTGCTGCCTGTTTTGATAAATAGTTTTATTGGAAAATAGTTACATCTGTTTATTTACATTTTGTCTATAGCTGCTTTCAGGCCAGAACAGTATACAGAGAATGTATAACCTGAAAAATTTAAAGTATCAATCTTATACTGGGTAGAAATAGTGAACAGAAAAATAATGGGGAAGAAAGAGTCAATGAAACCAAAAGCTGCTTCTTTGAGAATATCAATAAAATAGATAAACCTCTAGTCAGACTGATTAGGAAAAAGGAATTACCACTACACGGAATCAAAGAGGTGATAATGCAAAGATTACCACAAACTTTAAAAAGATAAGAGATCATGAAAATTTTTATATTTATAAATTTAAAAACCAGATGAAATGGACAAATTCCTTGAAGGATTAAATACTGAAGTAAAAGGGAAATGAAAAACAAAACAAAACAAAACTGAATAGTCCTATTTTTATAAAATAAACTGAGTTTGCAGCTAACCTCCTTTCCATGAGACAGACAACAGGTCCAGATGGCTTCAGTGGTAGAGTCTATCAAAATTTAAAGAATTTTTTACAGAAAACTGAAGAAGGAATATCATTTCATTCCCCAAGGCAAGCATGACTCCAATACCACAGCCAGATGAAGACACCCGGAGAGAGTGATATACCTATGTTTTCTTATGAGTATATATGTGAAATAATCCTCATCAGATTCAGTAAGTTGAGTTCAGCAATCTCAAGATTCATTTATCATGTGAAACACAATAGAGTTTACCACATTACTCAAACTAAAAAAGAAAAAGAGAATTTAAACAGCTGCTCAAAAGGTAATTGAAAAAAAATCTATTCATCATGCAAACTCTCAGTCTAAGAAAAGGGAATTTCTTCTATTTGAAAAATTTATGAAAAGCCTACACATTACATATTTGATGGTAAAAGACTGACTGCTTTCCCTCTAGTATTGTAAATATTAGGTAACTATGTCCACACTCTTTACTCTCATTGACTGTACTGGAAGTTCTACCTAAAGCAGTAAGACAGGAATAAAACAGCATACAGATTGGAAAGAAATATAACTGTCTTTATTACAGATGACATAGTTATCTGTGCTAAGTAACCACAATGAAACTGAAAAATGATTTTAATAAGACCGTAGGATACAGGGTTGATAAATGAAAACTGTATTCCTATTAAGTACCAATGAAGAATTCAAAATCAGCATTTTAAAATACCATCTATAATAACAACCAAATACATGAAAAACTTAGATATAAATCTGACAAAAGAAGCTTAAGACCTATACACTGAAAACTTCTTGGTATTGCTAAGAATTAAAAAAAAGACCTGAGTAGTTTGGAAGAGCTATTGTATTCATGGACTAAAAGATTCAATATTATTAATATTACATTTCTCCCTGAAGCAATCTGTAAGTTTAATACAACATCAACCATAATTCCAATTATTAAGTACAGTAAAATTCAAGCTTCTGGTGATAGTTCTATTTTTAGTTGGTTCTACTTGTAGTTTTATTGGGAATATTGTAATTACCATCACTATTAGCATTCAACATATAAAGCAGTTCTATGACCTGTTCTTCAAATGTTCTTGTGCTAGCCTTTCACTGTTAAATCCTTTCCCCACTGTTTCAAGCCCTGGAAACTACTGATCTGCTCTATGGATTTATGTTCTCCAGAATGTCACAGAAATGAAACCATATAATATGATGCATTTTGAGCCTGGTTTCTGTCATTTATTTGTGATTTCGCTAGAGGTTGTATGTAGTGGACAGTTTGTCCCTTTTTACTGCTGATTGCATTTCATTCTCTACTGAAGGAATGTATGATTTATTTTTAGTTTTTGGTAATTATAAATAAATGTTCCTACTAAACATTCACATACAAGTTTTTGAGTGAAACTAGCTTTGCATCTCATATGAATAAATGTCTGGGAGTGGGACTCCTGGGTTCTATAGTAAATATATGTTGAACTTTGCAGAAAGTGCAAGGTTTTTCTCAAGTGGCAGTATTTTGAATGCTCATCAGATGCCCTATGTCCTCTCTAGTACCTGTCAGTTTTTAAAAACGTTTTTACCCATTCTAAGAGATGTGTAGTGAAATTTTATTGGGGAGTGTTTACTTACACTAAAAAAAGAATTTTTATTATGAGTATTAAGAGTTCTTTAAATATTCTGGACACAAAACAATTGCCAGGTCTTCTAATGGATGGTTTGTTATTTCATTCTCTTAACAGCGCCTTTCATAAAACAAGAGTTTTCAACTTTGATTCTCTTAATGCCATACCTAAGAACTCTTTGCTTAATATAAGATTTCAAAGGTTTTCTCCTTCATTTCTTTCTGAAAGTTTAACAGTTTTTATTTTTTATGTTAGGTCTATGGTCCATTGAGTTAATTTTTGCTTAAGGTATAAAATACAGTTTAAACTTAATATTTTGGTGATTGTTACAGAACCACCATTTGTTGAAAGCCATTCTTTCTCTATTGAAGTGCCTTTGTATCTTTGCTTGCCAATAATCAACTGGCCTATATTTGTGTTGGGTTATTTGTGAGCTCTCTTCTATTCCATTTTGTATGTGCTATCTTTTTGCTAAGAGCACACTGTCTTGATTACTCTATAGTAAGTTGTGAATAAAATATTATGAACCCTCTAGTTCTATTCTTTTTTTTCAAAACTGCTTTGTCATTAGCACTTATATCTAAAAGAAAAATATTTCAGACATTTATATCTGTATTCATATTTATTAAAAAATGCTAGAATTCTGACTGGAGTTGCAGAAAATCTATAATCATTTGAGGGGTAGAACGGACTTTTTATTGGATTTATCTCTTCATCGTTTATGTTCAATTTCTTACATTATCAGCGTTTTGTAGTTTTCAGAATATTGAGCCTGTAAATATTTTGTAAGAATTACACATATTATTCATTCCTGAGCTATTATATGGTAGTATTTTTAAAATTTCAATTTCCATTTGCTCATTATTAGCATATAAAAATAAAATTGACTTTTCTATTTAGTGATCTTGCTCAACTCACTGATTTAGTCTTAGCTTTTTTGTGGAGTCCTTGGCATTTTCTATAGACATACTTGTCATCTGGAAGTAGTTTATTTCTTCTTTTCCAATCCATATGTCCTTTATTTCTTTTTCTTGCCTTATTGTACTTGGTAGCAATTCCAATATGATTCTGAATAGGAGTGTTGGGAATGGACATACCTTGTCTTGCTCTTGATCTAATGGTAGTGAGCTAAATAGAGTCACTAAGTTGGTTGTGGTGACCATTTCATGGGAGTATACATGTGTCTACTTAATGCACTAGAAAGCCTACATATATGCATATTATTACACGTCAGTATACTGGGGGGGGGGAGGGAACAAGACAGAAAAGGAAAAAGAATGTATCAAAAATGTTTGGAATAAAACTTTCAGTTAACAATCAGAATAGTTTAAATCTTTCCAGAGACAACTACATTTGAGCCATCACCAAATCAGATGATATATAAGTATCAACTGTGTCCTGCTAAAACATTTTATTATTGGTGTTTTCCTTTTGAACTCACAAATCTTGCCTTACCTTTCTGCTTTGATTTACTTTCCAAGTTTGCTTAGTTCTATCTAGGTGAGCCATAAATACAGGCAAAACTCATTCTTCTGCTTTCCAGATAGGATACTTTCTTACAGTGATGACTATAAGATTATAGCTTTTCTGTGTTATGATTTTGTTTACCAAAACACAGTTATTATTGCATTTAAGAGAAATCATCTAAAACATCCATCTTAAAACCACTTTTATCATATCTATCACTTTTTTGTTTATAAATACAATCATAACTCACGAATTTGACCACTCTTGACTTCTTAGATTGCTTTACTGAGGCTGAATTATTCTAACTCAGGTGCACAAAGGATGAGGAGCACAGGCCCTACAGTTAGACTTTCAGTACAACTCTCCATTGATGTTTAGCAAGTTTCTTCCATATACAAATGTGTGTAGCTCAGTGAATGTTGTAAGTAAATAAACATAACCTACCTATGTCAGAAAGCTGAAAAGTACTATTACCTCAGGTCTTGTGATAAAAATTTAAATTTGCAGCTACCTTAACAGTTCTACAGTAAATCTGGACCTCCTGGTGACCTAGGGATTAAGTCTAAGTGCTATCACCTCTAGGGTGATATATATATATATATGTATGTATGTATGTATGTATTAGAAAAATATTCTATAGTATATCCCTGGAAATAGAGATAAGTAATTCCCAAATTGTCACCTGATGAATGTACAGCTTCTGTATTTTTGTAAACTTGCCCTAAGGAAACCCAACAAAAGGTAGGGAAATAGGATAGAAGGACAGAGATGCACAAGAGTAAAGAAATAAAAAATGTGCCTAATATAAGGAATTATCTTATTAGAGAGTTGCAGGAATTTGAATATGAGAGTGGGATAGAAGCAGTTAATCCCAGAGAAGGATCTACTCTAGGATGATGGAAGGTGGCTACCCTTTAGAGACAGGGACTGTGTACAGTGCATGACACAAAGGTGAAACTACAACTCTGGTCATGTTTTCTTTTCTTGCAGGAGGAAGAATTCTTAAAGAGACTTGAAGGGTGGTAAAAGCTCTTTTTCCTCAGACCTTGCTTGTCTGTACAGTACCTCCCATCTCAACATCCTGTTCATAGATTTGATTTGATTATTTCAGGAGATTACTAACTAGGGTCTTTTTTGGTTCTCCCACTCAGAAGATATTCTTCAAAAAAAGGGAACACATACCTGCTCTTTGACCTCAATGTTATGCTCCCCTTCCAGAATAAGGGTGACGGCTTGCATAATTTGCTTTCCATGAGTACTCATTATTTTATCTATATGCTGCAAAACAATGGGAAATCCACAATTATCGTCTGGGGAACAAAGAAAAAGACCATAGAAAAGAATAGAAGGCTTCTAATAGTTAAACAATACAATACATGGCTGCTTCAAAGAGAACACTGTAGCAAATAGAACTTGGTGCCAAAGAACAGTGTTTATCCTATCTTGAAGCTGCATTTTGCCTTCAATTTTTTTTGTTGCTCTTTTGGATAACTTGAAGATGAAAAGTACAGAATTGGTCTGATAGAATACAGAACTACAATCACTGGGGATCTTTAAGTCTAAAGATATTAAGGAAAAGGGCAATATAAAAAATGGCTGGTGGTGGAGGAAGGGAGAAGGCAGAGAATGCACACAGAAAATATGGTGTACATTTACGAATACTATCTTGGGGCAAATATGCAAAGAAAATTCAAACACAAGTGAGGCACAGAGAAGGGGACCAATAACAAATCTTCACCCATCTGGAGACCATTGACATTACTGCTCAGGAGACGTTAAGAAACAATGAGAGAACCCATTAGCAAGGTTCAGCCTCTCCTGCTGAAACACATCCACTGTTCTCTCCACTGATCTCCAGAAGTCAACCAGTAAATGTGGGTGGCCATTGAGATGGGGTGGGAGGTGTCTACAGAATGACACTGAAAAGGATTCTCCAAAGGGAAGATGCAGAGGCCCCAGAGATAAATGATTTAGGCAGATGAGAAAACCCATCCTGGTCAGCAGACCAGGTAAGTATAAAGAAATAAATCAAGACAGGCTCATATCCAGCAGAGGAAGGAGAAGGAGTTTATCAGGCAGTGCAGAAGTGAGTCAGGTGGCTCTGCTTAAAGCAGTTCCAAAGTGCCTATGGAGGTGGCAGGTCTAGATTATCTATCCCATTACTCTGAGGTGGAGCAGTATTTGAATCACACTTGTGGGCAGATACTAATGGGGGCAGGGAGATGACAATGTTTTGTAATGCATATGCAAGAGTACCTAATCTGAAATCCTGGGTGATTTTACTTACAGGCCGAGTAGAGAGGAGATTTCTAAGAAGTCCTAATGTCTTCATCAGCACATTCAGATCTGAATCTGATAATAACCGGAATAGCTGTTCAGTACTCAAGCTTCGTAAAATATCTGCTTTTATTTTTTGTTCAGCCTGAAATGCCATATTCTGAAAGGATTAAAGAGGTTTCAAGATTCACTTCTATATTTGCTTCACTAAATTATACTGTAACTGATAATTTTCAAAGTATAAACAGATACTGTAGAAAATCCTTAAGCGTAAGTCACATTACTTTTTTGATTCCTCTTAGTCACTTATAATTCTGTCACTCCTATTTATACTCCTGTGTGAAGAATATGACCACTCTGGATATGGGCATTTGAATGTTTTAAAATTTCTTAAATAAATACAAAACCCACTATTGCATTATGAGAAAATCCTTGTGGTTTATCAAGTTGCTTTCTGTGCACTTAATAACAAAATGCCTATAAACAACTAAACTGTGTCATCAATTTTGAGAATGATTTAGAAGTACTCCCTTATTATGGATGAAAATAAGTAGTAGATCTGTTATCTTTATTGGCATGAAACACCTTTTGTGTTCAGAATACCATGTGAGCTATTGATTGAAATAGGTGGGTCACATTACATAAGCTCCTCAAAGAGTAGGAGATGTAGCTACTAACCATCTTAGATAGCCAGTAGCTATTTTGTATGTTTCTCCTTTCTAGACACTTGTATTACCTCCAGTTTAACCTGAAGCTATAATAACTGAAAAAACATGGCAAATTTTGAATAACTCATATATTAATTTTTGATACAAAAACCTCTTATAAACAAAAGACTGATTATAATATGTGGTTACTGCCCTCCAGTAACTTATTTTTAATCAAGGAACTGCAACTTATGAAAGATTAAGTAACACTGACATGCATTCTTGCTGAGAAGAGCAAGAATACTGGGTTGGGTGCCAAGAGACCCAGACCAAAGACAATCCCAAAGTTTTACATTTTGTGTACAGAGCAGGTAACATGGAAATCGATGAGAACAAGATAGTTACTGTTGATTTGAGGAATGGGGTTTTAAGTTAAATTTTCAGTGTCTAAATTTTACTGACCAAGGAGCCCTCAAATGAAGCCCCACGGGTTATTTTTAATTGAAAGAATTGGGGAGTAGGGGTCTGTTACAAATGGACATGTATATTTATAGATAACCTCTTCTATTAAGAGTGTTGTAACTGTAAGAAAAGATGAAGCCCCTGAAACTTAAGTGCAAAAGTACTAAAACTTGGAGGAGTGTCCCCTGAGAAGGTAGGTAGAAGTGAGCTTAAAAAAGGTTAAGTCCAAGGAAAAAGTTTCAAGAAAGAAGTGATAAAAATTGGTACAAAGTGAAACTAATGGCTTCGGGGCCTTCTTAGAGGATGATTATTTCTAATTCAAAGTTTTGTGAAAAGACAGCAAACATAGCACAGAAAAGAGCGAAGGGCTGGACTTGGGCAGCTTCAAAGTCTATTTTCATCACTTAAGTTGTGAGGCCTTGGAGGATTTATTTACCCACAGAGTTCTAGTTTCCCAGTCATAAGGTAGACATAAGAAATACAGATAGCAAATATGAAACACCAATAATTTAGTGTCTGATACACAGTAATTAAGATGTAATTATTATAACTATGCTTCTAAAAATTCATGTAAGAACATTCTATTTTTCAAGTTTCTTGAGAAAAAAAGTTCTCTGATTTCAGTTAAAAAGTTTTAGAATTTTGATTATACATCATTTACTAAAAACTTAATAGTTAAGCATTTATGCACCAAATCTGTTGCCTCAGCAAATTACTTAATCACTCTGTACCTTAGTTTTACTGATCTATAAAGTATGAATACTCCCCTAGTTTATTTCACAAAATTGTTATAAAGAGCAAAGAAGACATGAAAGTGCTTTGTAAAGTAGGTAGCTCTATATAGGTATCAATATATCATTATGTTCACAATGAGGAAGTTTATTTTCCCAAAATTAGATAGGTCAATCTTCAATGTCTGGCTACTTCCTTAATAATATGAGAATTGAAGCACACAGTGGCCAACCAAACAGTTTATATTCAAATTTGTAAGCTGAATACTGAGTCTTCCAGGTCTTAGAAAATGGACCAAAAATAGCAATATTTTTTAAAAAGAAAATTCCTGACATTTTAAACAACACATTCTTCTGTTTTAACTTCGACAGCAGTTCTATTCTCTTTGTAAATGACATATATAACAATGAAACATACCATTAAAGCCCAAATTCCATTCACTCGTAAAGCAGGATTTTCACTTTGGGTTAGTCCACAGAGTAGCTCTACAGCTCCTGATTCTAAAATTGGCTATGATTGGAAAGGAAAAGCACAATTTTAAAGTCAGGTTTGTAAAGTAAAGGTGTATATATCCTGGCACTCTAAGATTTCCTTCCTATTCTTACCCAATTTCAGAGAACTTTAACAAAACGGGGGGTGAGGCAGACATAAAATTCTCTTTGAGAAGGGCAAGGGTAAGAACAACTATTTTCTCATAAATTAAAAAAAAAAAAAACAACAACCCACAAAATAGGCCGGTCATTTCCTTTTTCTTGGTAGTTTTGATAGACTCAGGAGAAACCCTAATTATATGCACATTTCACATACACCTATCACCCCAGGATTTGTGCACTCTCATTGTCTCTGAGGCACTTCATTCCCCGCATAGTGTTTGCATGTATATTAAGTGGCCTCCACAAGTGGCTATGAAGCAATATGGTTGGTTTAGAAAGGAATTTAAATAACCCAACTATTCTTCCATACTGTCAGTCTTACTCCAAACCTGCTGCAGAATTTATCTTTAAGAACTATCAGGATTATCTGTCAACCATACAAGCATAACAGTCTCATACTTTTTATAGCCATCTCATATTTTGTACCTAAAATAGCATGCTTTAACTTTTATTTACTTTTTATTTATGATAATACTTGGCTGAAAATAACTTTTAATAATTTCAAACTAATGTAAACCTTACAGAACCAATTTACTATCAACAACAAATTATTTATTTACTAACTTTTTAAGATTTATTAATTTATTTATTCATAGAAGAACTAGAGTGCACAGAATAACTGGAGTATAGGCCAGAGGTGGGATGGTGATGGTGATGAGAGAATTCAGTGGGGAGCAGAGCATGCGGATTTAATGAGGTACACTGCTAAGGAGAGCAGCAGGGTGAGACAGGAGAGGTCTGCTGTGCCATATGAGTTAGCTCCCTGGCAGGGAATAGAACTCAGGCCTTAAGACGTGGTAGTGCTGAGACTTAACCCCTAGGCTACCAGGGAAGTCCAATCAACAAGTACTTTATTATTTATTTTTAAAAGATTTATTTATTCATGCATACAAAAACTGGGTACAGGCCAGAGGTGTGGGGGTGGGGGTGAGAGGATTCACCAGAGGCAGAAAAGGCAGATTTACTAAAATACACTGCTGAGGGGAGCAGTGGGCAGGTAGGGAGTGGTCTCCATATCATGTGGGTCACATCTCTGGCTAGGAATGGAACTTGTGCTGCAGTGGCTTCGGACACCTTCGTAGTACTCCCGTTACACCACCAGGGAGGGCCCTCAACAATTACTTTAAAAGGTTATCTGTCAAGTGGATTCAAGAAACATCTAAGCAATTCAGACTTACACACTGAGAAAAAGGGCAGTGCCTTTCAATATGACATTTTCAAAGATTATACATTCTTCTTATACAAATTGTGGTTCTTTTCTCACTTATAATATTGAAATAAATTCAAAGTTATAAGACAGTAGCAATACAAGGAACTCCCTAGGGGTGCAAGGAGTTAAAGTGAAGCACTATGAAGCTATCTGCGGCCACTGCAGCATGACAAGGCCAGGGAGCTAACCCACATAGCGCAGCAGACCTCTCCTGTCACACTGCTGCGCCTGCTGTTCCCCTCAGCAGTGTATTTCAGTCGATCTGCCTGTTCTGCTCCCCACTCTGTTTCTGGTGAACCCTCTCATTCCCACACATCAGGCCTATATACCAGGTCCTCTATTAAAAAAAAAAAAATACAAGGAACTTTCATGTATTCTTTCCCCAGATTTACTAATTTTAAACATTTTACCGTATTTGCTTTATCATTATCTTTCTCATTCGACACACCCATATCCACTTTATCTTTTCCTGAACTATTATTTGAAATAACAGTACATATAAACCCTTTACTCTTCAGGGTGTATGTATTTCTAAGAACAAGGAAACCACAGAACTAATTCAGAGCAGTTAACAAAGAAACTATACATTTATGAAAGTTATAGTCCAAACTCCAATTTTGTTAATTGGGCCAATTATGCTCTTATAACACTTCCTTCCTTTTAGTTCAGGATCCTGTTTACTATTAATATAAAAAAACCCAATTATATTAACAATCCTATATGAGGGCTCATCTATTCCCCAACTAGCCATTAAATGTTGTGAAGGTGGATTTGAGCTGTTCAGGATGATTAATGGTGCCACACTAACTACAACCAAATCATCAGCAAGAGACTCTCTCAGTTATGGGGTAGACATTTTGCCTTGCCTCTCTCCCCTCTGAAGAATACTGTCCAGATTTTTGCTTGTTCACTGCCTCAGGTTACTAATGCCCAGTCAAAAATTTGCAGTTGTTACAAAACGGAAAAGAAATTCAACAAAATGGGACTATTAGATATCTAATAAAGGGTGGTATCTAAACCTCACTTCATAGCTGGGAACAGTAGAAATTTTACCATGATAAAACTAACTATAAGCCCCTTCTCCTTTACTAATGTTCATTTTAGTTTTCCCTATTACAAAGTTAATACATGCTTCACTAATTTATAAAATGCATAAAAGGAAAAAATATCACCACATACAATCCCTTTCCAAACTACTACTGCTAAAAAGCATTTTTCAATGCTGGCAGTCATCACTTAAGAATAATTTATAATCTGGGCCTCCCTAGTGGTGCAGTGGGTTAAAGCACAGCACTAAGAAGCAAAACCCACTTCAGCATGAGTTGATTCCCAGCCCCCCCCTGAGATGATCCACATGGTGCAGCAGACCTCTCCTGACCCTCCTGCTGCTCCCTTCAGCAGTGTACTTCGTCAGCCAGTTTGTTCTGCTCCCCACTCTGTCTCTGGTGAAGACTCTCACTCCTGCACCTCTGGACTGTACCCTAGCTCTGTATGCATAAATAAATGAATCTTTAAAAAAAACCCAAACTTATAATCCTGGTTTATAACACTGAGTCTTAATTTATTCTTCAGTAATACAGTTTGAAAATAGTCTATTGCTTTTATGATTATTTCTACATTTGCAGTTGCAGGCATTTTTGATTATAACTGATAATAACTCTTAAATAAGATGACTGTGCCAGACATAAAAGAAATTACCACAAGTTATTAAGCAAATTAAATCTTTTAAGTGATTTAATTTGTCCAACCTTACAAGTCAGAGGCAATTTTTTTTAAGATTTATTTATTTATTTATGTATACAGAACTGGGGTACAGCCCAGAGGTGCAGGGTGGTGAGAGGATTCACCAGAGAGAGTGGGGAGCAGCACAGGCTGATCAACGTAAGTACACTGCTGAGGTGAGCAGAGGGCGAGTCAGGAGAGGTCTGCTGCACCATGTGGGGATCGAACTCGCATTGAAGCAGCTGAGGCTAGCTTGCTATGCTGTGTCTTTAGACATTGTGCCACCAGGGAGGGCCCAGAAGTAATTTTTAAACCTAACTTCAAATTTCAATATCTATTGACTAGGCTATAGGTAAGCAGGGGTAAAGTCCAGGTTTTAGGTGAATGGGGTGAAATCTAGGGAGAGAAAATTAATACTGACCTCTTTGCTTGGAGAAAACTCAAGAAGAAGATTACATAGCATGGAAGATGCTACCACTAGTATTTCATCTGGTGCATTTTGTAAAACCTAGGGAATAAAAAAAGGGGGAGGGTACTATTAATGGTTCAGAAACATGGAAATGAGACTATAAGAATAAACGAGAACAAAAACAACTTATCCTTCAACCTGATTTCTCATATTGTAGAGATCGTTAGGGAAGATCCACTTGATAGCATGTCAGAATTTACCTTGTGCTTTAATTATGACTGACCAAGGCCCTCACCTCTAGCAGAGAAAGCTAGTCTTACTCTCAGGATGTGGGCTGCTACATGAAAAAGAGGTAAAGAGTCAGGGAGGGGGTGTTCTGTATGACGAGTTTGAAGTCATGTGATTGCTTTGGGGCAAGTTTAGCTCATTTTACTCATCAAATCAGGACATTTATGAAACCACAGAATTGCCCAAAGGCTTGAAACTTCCAAAACTTGTTTGACCAGGAGCATCAATGGATCACATTACTGCACAGGCTAGTTCTCAGGACTGGAATCACACAGCCCTGGGTCTAACCCTTACTTCTCCATTTATCAGATGTATGAACTTGAGGTCCTTTCTTAATTTCTTTGAATTTTTGAATTGAGAGAATGAGGAAACTATTTTCTAGGGCTATGCATGATTAAATGTGGTAGGATGTTAAATAAGGGAATCAGCACAGCATGGGGATGAACACAGACTGCCTCAAAACAAATTGCAGCTCAACCATTAAATAGGTACATGGATTTCTTGGCTATAAAACAGAGATAATAATGGAATCATTTTCACAGGACAATTGTGAGATTTAGTATAAAAAATATTTTAATGATTACATAAACAGAGATAATAATGGAATCTATTTCACAGGGCAGTTGTGAGAATTAGTATAAAAATATTTTAATGATTACATAAGCATGGATTTTAAAACTTTAAATTGTTGCTGTTACTCTCAGGCACATGTAGGTACACAGTAAACTAACTGCTATGGATGTCACTAAATTCATGAGGACAACACAGCAGGACAAGTGTTAGTTGCCATTAACTATTATAAGAACCTATGCTTTCCAATTTCTGAAAAGACTTTTTATGAACACTGCCACTTATATGGAAATCCTCTTCAACTAAATCCTTTGCATTTGGAGTCAAATCAGGCTTAGGCTTACTATCCCCAAAGGAATCCTAGGAGCTCTAGATACACAGATTGGGACAAATTCAGAGTTAAATATATTATCTGTTTTTTTTAGTTAAATCAAGAATGAAGCTTCCAAGCTAAGAGTAAGCAAGAATTTCAAAACTGAAGCAGTTCACATACAATCTTGTTTTTAGTTCTCTTTTAAATTGTTATTTAGTTGATAAGATGAAGTCTCACATATTCTAGATGCTGATTTCCTCTGAGGCTTTATTCAGTTTTTCCCAGAGCTCTCAGATGCACACTGTATTCATGCTTTAAGGCTGCCGCAGTCCAGAAGCCTCCTTGAGGCTTTCAGTCAGAAATCATTCCATCTTTATGGAAGTGTACAGTCATTCTTTGTGATCTCTCTGAAAATCCTTATTACATTTATATCTACAAATTTAAATTTCTCAAAGAAATCATCTATATATTTATGATCTAATTTATCCTGTATCAACCAAATGGTGCTGCACAAAAAGGGGATTCAAATTAATGTTTGTGAATTAAGGGAAATTCTTTCCCCAAATTGTACTGCTTAGAATCACTGGTTGAAATAAATGAGTGCCTATCACCAAGCCTTTAAAAAGTTATTTTGTTTGATATAATTCACTTTTAAAAAGCAAATAAACATTTCCATAAAACATTATTTTATAGAAATTAATGTGCTTTTATCTACTTTTACTTTCAAATTAGAAAATATTTAATGATAAACTAAACAGAAGAGATTTATAACTCATGCAGCATAAGAAATAATACAAGAAATTTAGAAGTCAACAATTAACATTGAACAAATAGAATTTCACCAGTGTAAGAACAAAAAATAATCACCAATGAAAATTTTAAGTGCAAAAGCCCTATTATTCTGTGGCTCGCAAACTACATTTAAAAACATGGAAAATGAAAGGGGGAAAATACAGACCTGCAAACATGAGCTAAGAGAAACCTAAAAGTATCTGAAATAAATCATCATTGTATTTCCAGGCTTTTAACACTGTACTTAAAATGTGCAGCAAAGTAGTTTGTAGTAAATTATATGTAACTCACATGTACCTAAGTGCACAAAATCCTTCTAGATTGTTTACCAAAACTTTCCCAGATAAAACTCGTTAGGAGCCAACCATATGTTATTTCATTTCTGACTCATAGGATAAAGGGATACTAAGCTGAGCATTAGAGAAAACAGTTCCATAGCTAGGAGTTATTTTGGGGAAAAGGAGAGTATTTTAGAAAACACTGCATGGATACATACAATCAACAAATCAAGTCTAAGCTGCTTTGAAAAAGGTGCAATCTAAGAACAAGAATGACAATAGCTGACTCAGCTGAGGAGAATACTGGCCCAGCTCACTCCAGGGCCTCATATCCCACGCATCTACAACAGTCAAAGCATCCTTACTGCTCCCTACACATACAAATGTAATGTTTCTGTTCATGCTGTTCCTGTCTCTGGAATATCCTCCTGCCTTCCTTTGCCTCAAAACCCATTTCATATTCTTCCTACCAGAAGACTCCCCTATTTCTACCACAATGATGCCCCTACTAAAACCTTAAGAGTTATGCTGTGGGCAAGAGCTTTGTGATAAAATTTTTGATGGCCTTCCTAGACCCAGAGGTGTTCACAGTAGGTACTAAAACAAACAAGTAAACAACATGTTTATATGTAAATATATAAACAAAAGATTCCACTAATTAAATGCAATGTGTATGGTCACATAAAAGGAAAAAGATGAACCAGAGACCAATTTAGCCTGTGTGTCTGTAATATATCAGCAATAATACTAGCATTAATCTGATGCATTCTCTAAGTCTCGACTGAGGCTTAGCTTGAGCCATTTTGTTTTTCTCCTACTCTCAAGGAAAGACCTAAGAAAGAAGTTATTTGGGAAGAGACAAGTTATGTGAAAATACACCCAGGGATTGCCAAATGATTATGAACAGGTTATCCACAAATGGCTTATTTTGTCTTTTTTATAACTAAAATATTTATCTAGATGTAAATGTAAAATATTTATCTAGATCAGTAAACCAGGAAATCAGAGTTTTATATATATAAATAAAGATTTTATTCATTTATGCATACAAGATCTGGGGTGTAGGTCAGAGGGCAGGGGGTGAGGACTCACCAGAGACAAGAATGGGGAACAGAACAGGCAGATCCATGGAAATATACTGCTGAGTGGGGCAGCTGGCGAGAATGGAGAGGCCTGCTGCATCATGTGGGCTAGGGATCGAACTGAGACCACGGTGGCTGGTGATAGCCTGGTAGTGCTGAGACTTAACCCCCTTGCCACCAGGGAGGCCCAATGAGTTTAATAAAAGAAAACCAGGCTCATACTTACTACCTTTTGCACATGAAGTGTGCCTGAGAAACACACTCTGCAGACCTGAAGACACAGGAAATAATCAGACCCACTCCCAACCTATGGAGAGCAGCCGGCGATCTCAGTTCACTAGAGGCTTTCTGGAAACCGGTATTAACTGCTGGCCATTTCTCCTTACCTTCATTAAAGGTTTCCACACGGCGTGATCTTGGAAACTGGTTCGAAGCTGCTGCACAGATCTAGATAAACTGTGCAAACATCTACAAAGAATAATCAAAATTAGCTTCAGAAGAAGCTGAAACTTGTGATTTTCAAACAGTGCTTGGCATTTCACAATTATTAATATATACTTCAAGTCCATCTATAGCCATTCTTAATTCAACTAGCTCAGAACCCTTCATTACTAAAGCCTGTTAAATGTTACACTGTATGAATTCACCTGAGCATACTTTTGAGTAACATTTGGATTCTGTGTTATTCGTGAAGGTCTGGAAAGGAGACAGGTCAAATACACGGCAAAGGAATTTTATTCAGACCATTTAAAGCTCATACCTGACAGCAGCTAACCGCACCTTGACACTAGACTCAGACAAGCCAGTCACAATTCGGTCCATCATATTTTCAGTCTCAATGATCTGGAGAAAAAGGTTAATGCTGCATAAATAACAACACGAAGATGACAAAATTCACTGCTTGTAAATGCAAGTATGCTAATGTCCACTAAAAGTTTAATGCTTTTAGCAGGTTTTACCTCTGGAATTATCATTTTGTGGAGGGGGTAGGCAGTACATCAGAAAGGTAAGGACACCGTACTAAGGACCTGCCAGGATGAACGACGGGTGTAAGAAGTAAATTGTTTCTTTATTTTTATCAACACTTAAACAATAACTATATTGCATAAGTATTACAGAGGTGTTGAACAGACAACCTTGAGAAAAAAAAAGTGCTACTGAGATTCTAGAAAAATGTTAGTCCACATTCAGCCCTTATGAAATCTGAGATTCTGACACAGCCTCCCTGTGGCTATTTTCTTACCAAGCAAATAGAAACTAAATATTTAGAACAGTATCTCTTGCCATTCACTGTGCAACAACCCTGTTATGTGTAATCATACTATCAGGAAGCTTTTTTTTAATTTAAAAACAAAGTAGCCTACATTTTTCCTTCACTCAACAATGTATAGATACAAAATAAATAAAATGTGGATGAAATTAGGTTTAATTTGCAGGGTCCTCTGAAAAAAATGGCATATTAGAACAAAATGCTAATGTAACCACAACATGCATGTCAACACAGTATTGTGTGAACTTCTATATACCAGGCATTGTGCTGAGCATCTTACATTATCTGATTTAATCCTCATCCTTTTGTAGGCATTATGATTAGTCCCACTGACATACAGGAAAGTGAGGATTCTATATGAAATAGAGCTTGCTGGAATCACAGAGCTGTGAACCAGGCATCTGACTATAGAGTCCTTATGGTTAGCCAGAGTTGTAACAACAGTTGTAGGAAAAGAAGTGTCTCGTGCTCAACAGGTTGTTCCCAGCCAGGGAGATGAACTAATTGGAGTCATTGCTGTCATGTGGAGAACATGTGGAATGATCACTGGGGGAACTTTAAACATAGTCTCCTGCTAATTATATTAGGTTCTCTGGGATAAGGCCTGGGGAACCTGCACTTTTAAAAGCTCCTCAGTTGAGACAAGGGTGTGGCCATGCTGGAGATTACGGATTTCTACTATACTGACTCTTGTACAAAGGCTGATCTCAGAACAGGAGGGGTGGGAAAATCAAATCTCAGGATGTTAAAAACAAATATGAAGAGAAAAAAAAATTGAGTTGAACAATGTTGGGGAAATAACAGTTATCAAGAGGCGGGAACACAACTCAGCTGTAAGGTAGGGCATAAATGCTACATAATGCCCATAGGTTCCAACAGTGGCTGAAGACAATGTATATACATTGATCTACTCCTCACCCTAGACCAAAACCACACCCATTGTCACTTCTAGCTCTAATACCCCCTTTTCTCAATGTCTACCTATTCTTCTTGAACCTTGTATGCTTTCTCCCTCACCTGATGCACTGCTTACATCTCCACTTAGTTTCACTGTCCTCTCATTCCTGCCTTAGATTCAAAACTGCTGATGTTACAGTAAAAACAAACACCAAGACCCACCAAATCTGGCTGCTATCCCACCGCAGTGGGATACTCCCTGTTGCTCCATCAGGCTTGCCCTTCCCCACTCTCTTACACCCTCAGCAGTCCAGTCCTCTGTGCTACCTCATTTTTGCATACATTGTTTGCTTTCTGGGAAAGTTGCCTCAACTTCCCATTTCTCATTGAAGTATCACCTTATTTTCCTTTTTTTCACTCATGTTTCACTGGTGTGTACTGCAATCTCAAAGCACTTCCTCCTTAATTCAGAAACTACCTCTTTATCTTTACTCTGTCCCCATGCCATTAGATCTTCCCTTCAGACTGTGACCTCCCATTTCTATCCCTGTTTAAGATTTAAGTGCCCAAATTATAACTTCTTTAAGCTCTAGTCCTCTTTACTCTTACCTCTTAGATGGTACCCCAAGACACTGTTCATTTTTCATTCTACACATGACAAGGCTATGACTTCAAAATCAGTGTGATATGGATAATTCCCTAATCTCAAATTCTATCATAGAATTCTTTCCTAACCTCTAGCCTGGTATTTGAAATTATCTATAAAACACAGTATGGGTATTCAGAAAACTTCTAACTCATTATGTCCCATATTGATTTTTACCTTCCCTCCCTAAATCTCTCTCTATATCTTTCTATTATCACTCCCCCAGTTAGGTACTAATATTGTGTTTTGACTCCATATCTTCCTGAACAGCCATTCTCATATCTTTGTATTACACCTTATATTCATTCCATAACCATCCTCATTCCATTAAGCTAGTCAAGACCTTATGACTATTTCCTTGGGGATAACAATAATGTGTTTTCCAAGTTATTTAGTCATCTGTGCTATAGCAACTGCCAAAGAATGGCACTTGAAAAAGTTTTATAAAAAGACAATGCCAAATCAGGACCTTCAGCATAAAGAGCAAATTAAAATCTGGACAGAAGTCTCAGGGACTGGATGGCTAGATGCTGAAGTCTAAAAGTTCCTTCCTATGTCTTCTGAGAAAGTTTTGCTTAAAAATGAACAGAGGTAACTTGGGAGCTGAATGTAGTTGATATATAATCACAGAGCAAAGTGGTGGCAGTGGGACAGGGACACATGATTACTCTGTAAGAACTGAGAAATACTAGCATTAGCAGTAGAGGCAAGACTTAAAAGACTCCTGTGAGGCCCTCCCTGGTGGCGCAGCGGGTTAAAGCACAGCACTGAGAATCTAAAGTCGCTTCCGCATGAGTTCGATCCCGCCGGCCCCGGAGGTGACCACATGGCGTGGTAGACCTCTCCTGACCCGCCCGCTGCTCCCCTCAGCAGTGTACATCATTGATCTGCCTGTTCTGTTCCCCACTCTGTCTCTGGTGAAGCCTCTCACGGCCCCTGAGACTCTGGCCTGTACCCCAGTTCTGTATGCACAAATAAATAAATCTTTAAAAAAAAAAAAAAAAAAGACTCCTGTGAAATATTTACTGGCCACCACTGGTTTACAGATGTGTGAATGTGCCAAGGGACAAGGTATGCGTAGCAATCATGTAGGTATAGATCTGCTCTATAATTCTGAGTCATTCACTCTACTTCCCTGCGCCTTCAGTGAACTGGGAGTGGAAGGGTAGTGAGGAGATAGGTGGGATACAATAATGATTATTTTACTTCCAATCCGTTGCAATCAATAGGTGAATAAAATAATATTTGTCTGGGGAAAATGGTTGTTTGGGAACATGGGAAGCAATTATATTTCAACAGCTGGGAGATACTGCAGGTCTAGCTACTGACAGGAAGGACAAAAAAGGCATGGCACCTATTAGCATGCCCATATTTCTTCATTCAGTAAAAATTTGAGCACTGACAGAGAGCTGGGCATGGTTTTAAAACTTGAAGTTACAGGAGGGAGAGAGAGTGAATCCTTGTTTTCACCAAACTACAGTACTGAATAACCACTTTATAATTAAAGGCTTCAGGACAGACAGCACTAGATTCTCTATTAGCAAGAACACTTCAGGAATGATGTGCTGTGATTTTTAAAGCATACAACTGAACTAAATATCCATTCTCAAGAATGGGAATTTTACTATGAGTTGGGAATGGCCATCATTGGTCTTAACTCTCTAACCAGGCTCAGGAGAGGACAGTGGAGAACTATATTAGTGGCTAATCACTGTAACATCAGAGCACAGCTTCACACTTTCTCTTAAGTTTTCTGGAAAGATGAATGCTTGACACTTTGGGGATGGCATATAGTTATATGGTAACTGAAGAATCTTTCCCTTCAAGGCACAAAGTGGCCCTTCTTCAGTCATATTCTATCAAAATGCCTGTAGAAGGAGAACTGGATTTGTAGTTGAATCATTATAGAAGGACTTCAGTAACTCTGCTAGGGTTACAGAAAGCAAACTTTCAGAGTGGTCAACCAACTCTCATCAAATGATAGTTGGGGGCGGGGTGGGGGAAGAGGGTGAATATGCAAAAATTAGAAAGGAAACTAGGATTCTAATCCAAAAGGGTATCTTGGGAGGCCATGTGAATGGGTAACATGATCCCAACAAGGTGTTCTAAACTTGAGACTACCTGTTCAGGGAAGAAAAGATCATCACAATGGCTACTGCAACCAAAATGAGGTAAATAAGTGGTAAAGTTTCAGAACTGAATCCAGAGAAAACATTTTCATGTCAGCCACTTGCCAGTCTTCACTGACCCATATGAAGGTAGAAAAGAATACCAGAAAAAAAATTTCAGATCTGCCATGGGGATTACAACTGAGATGAAAAGGTGCACAAAATTAAGAAATATGTAAAAAAAAAATTCAGATCTGGGTTTGGAAAGTCAAGAGCAATAAAACAAATGACCTCAGTACTGTGCTATAAAGCACTGATAAGGATGGAAAGCCAAGTCCTAGCCTCAGCAAATGGCATTTTAGGATTAAGAACAAAGCCAATTTCTGGATTTTATGGTATTTGTCAATTTTAAACTTTATGATTTCTCATTCTAAATAAACATTTCTGGAGAAACAAACAACAAAAAAATGCCAAGTAGAATGCAAAGTAGTTCTGCCTCATGGCTCTTGTTGGATGCTCCTCAATCATAGCTCAGCAAATATACTCTATGGGACAGTTTATTGAATCTATTTAGAGAGAAAAAAGAAAAAAGAAAATCTCACTATTCTCATTTTCTAGGGACATGCATTGTAAATTTAACTGTAGACTTGAACCTCATTAAAAAAAAATGCTGTTCCTAAACTAGCCATGTATAACGTAGGTCAGTGGGCCACATGTTTTATACCTCTCTGTTGGTAATTTTAGTTTTCATGTCTACATACTTTTGCTAGTTTGTCTTTGACATTGCAGCTCTTGCGGGAGTAGCTGAGGATTGGAAAAGGATCAAAAACCCCTATCTTTGGGACAGGAGATGACAAGCTCCCAGGTTCTGTGGAATGTTAACAAAAGATGGATGGTCTTGACTTACAAGGGAATTCCCCAG